ATCTGTGACAATTTGCGATTGCATTCAGACTGCAATGCCACCGCCTCAACCGTTAACACAGCAAAAATGGAGAATTGCTCTTATTTGCTCAGGAGCTCTCTCCTGTTTCTTTCTACTGAAATGCTATTGTCCTCTGTCTGCGCTCACAGATCTGGCATCTCTTGGAAAAGTTCCTTCTTACTCCTCTGTTCACAGCTCGTGTTTGGGCTAGATCCTAATGGCTCTTCATTTATAATATCTGAGGTCTGTACCATTTTTTTTCCTCTTCCATTAGTATTGCTAATATCATTGTCCTGCCTTTGTCGTCTCACACCTGAGTTACTGCAGCCTTTTCTTTGGCTCTCTATCTCATCTCCTCGTGTTCCGGTTTTAATACTGTGTTTCATGATGATGGAAGGTGATCTTTTCTTTCCTTAGTGGGTTTTATTCTTTGCTTCTTCCACACTTCTCGCCCTGGAAGCACATCTTTCTATGAGGAGTCCAGTTCTCTATCTTTAGCTTCTCTGACCTTCAGAAAGTTTGTATATATTGAAGTCTAATTTGTTCCTCTTTGGAAAACAAAACAGCTCTCTGTATTAAACTCAAAATTTGGCAATAAGTCAACAGCGTGATCTCATATTTTTTGTGACTGCTTCAGGGAAGATGTTTTAAATGCAGTTAAGAGATTTAACAGAGAAGTGTTTTGGTGTAAAACTATCTTTAAAAGATTTGGGGTGGCTGGCTCCAGGGGACCTATGTGTTTGTCTTTTCCATCCATCAGTACTTTGGTGTCACGATTTCTCTCCCAAGCCACGGTACATGACCTGCAGCTGCGGTCGGCTGGGACCACTCATCTTGTCTATGACCTTGCTTTTTGTGACCTCCTTTCCTGGAGAGGACAATGGCAACTCAAGACCTAGATGTGGGCCAAATGAATTGTTTTGGAAATGGCAGCAGCCGGCTCTCAGCAACTCCCTCCCCGAAAACACCCAGTGCTTTCCTCTGCCACATCTGGGTGGGAGCAGTCACGTGGGAGTGGGCTTAAAACCCCTGGGAAGGTTGGTGGCCAGAAGCTGACTGCTGCTGCTTCTGGAAGAGCTCATTCAGTCCAACCTTTTGCCCTGAGAGTTCCTGAAAAAAAAGAATAAAGCTGCATAAACAGTGGTATAGTCTGTGCATGGCCAGTGGACTCCGTCTGGAATAGGTGCATTTCTTCCATAAAGCCTGTAGCAGGTGTGATAGAGTCATGCTATAGTGTCTGGTCCACTCTTAACTGCTGAAAGGAGCCAAGATGTGTCCGTCCACAAGGCTTGTTTGCTAATATTACATACATCTCTTTGTGGAGCAGAGTAAATCATCCCGTGCAAATCCGTGTGCTCCTCTACCCACTTCTTTTCTATTCCGGCTCACATACGCCCATAGCCTGAAGTGTGAATATTCTCTCTAGTTCTTTCTGCATCTGCCTGAATATAACATCCTGCCTTTCTCTTTCCCGTTGGTTAATCGTTTGACTTTTGAGGCACTTTCAGTCCATATTAGTTTGTGGAGAAAGACATCAGCAGTGATAGCTAAAGAAAATTCTGTTAGGTCATTCCTTTTCAGAACATAGTACCTGTCTTCTAAGCTCTTTGCGGATGTTAGCCAAATAATCCTTTTAATAGCTTTTGTGAGTTAAAAGGGTAGGTAACTGTCATAAGGCTAAATGATTGCATAGATTAATTTACTTGTGGCCAAAAGAAATCAATTGTAATTTAAATTTTTGTCTCTGGACTGATTACGCTACCAGACACCAACTTTTTCCTTGGGAATCTGCCGTGTGCATTGAAGTATATGTCTGCGATTATATATGGGTCTGGATTAGTTACAGATTATCCAGAGTAATGTGATTTAACATTTTCAGTTTTTAACCTACGGGCGTGCACAAGCTCAAAATACTCAGGTGGTTGGCCTTGTTTAGACGTGTAAAGTACGCGTTTATAACTTGAGTTGTTAGAATTCATAGGCTGTTTGGATGTAAAAGATTATTTGCCAGACTTAAAGACCACAGGTCTGTTGCAAAGCGTGCCAAAGCTCCAGCTGAAGGGTGAGACTTTAATGATCAATTTAAAAAATAAAAATTGAAAGATGATATAAGAAAATTCAGTAGTTCCAGGGAGCATTTTTCTTAACCATGGTTATATTTAGTGATTGGTATACATTCTACTGCCTTTTAGCAGAGGGATGGATTGGGTGATTGAGAAGGATCCCGAAGGGGCCTGTCTTTGTTTCTTTTAACGAGAAGTGATTTGGCGCTGCTGCCTGGTGAAACTGCCCTAAGGTTGCCCTCTGTAAGCCAGTTATATAATTGTATGCCAGATAACAAGAAGTCAGAATGCATTTACCTTTCACAGAAACATCTAACATCTTTCTCTATTTTGCTTGTGTCTTACAGAATGGTGAATAACACTGAAGACCCTCAAGAGGCTTTATAACGTCCCATCCCCATGTAAAGTATGCTCAGAACTTTTCCAGTAGTGTAAGTACAAGCTAAAAAAAACCCACAAAAATTAAGAGCTCTTTGGTGTGGCGCTTTTTTTTTTTTCTATTAATTTGTCTAAAAAGAGCAGAGAAATGGTTACAATGATTATCAGCAGTTGGCTAAATTGGAGAGTTCCACTGGTTTGGTATTTGCTAGGCACATAAACCAGGGAATTCCTCTCTTGGTCTGGCTGATGGGTTATTTCCACTTCTGCTTTTCTGTCACTGAAAGAGAAGGAAAGTCATGCAGTTCTTAAAAACTCAGCCTTGATCAGAGAAAAGGCAGTGTTAAAAGAGAGATCTCCATGCATCTACTGAACATACTAGAGGGATACCAGAGCTGTGCAAGAGTTTAGCACCACTGCAGACTTGATGAAAGAGGATGAGTTCACCATTAACATAGTATTATATAGCAAAGGCAGAAAACGTAGGACACCTAACCTAACACTGGAATTGGATGTGTTGGTCCAAGCAACAACTGCTATATCTTGAATCTCAGTATGAATTTAAGTTGTCTAAATCTTTGAATTTGAACCCATTAGTTTGATCTTTTAAAGGACTTCTGTCATGAATCTTAAATGTAATTGATATTCATGCTGTTTCTTATAGAATCATAGAATGGTTTGTATTGGAGAGAACCTTGAAGATCATCTAGTTCCAACCCCCCCTGCCATGGGCAGGGATACCTTCCACTAGATCAGGTTGCTCAAAGCCTCATCCAACCTGGCCTTGAACAACTCCAGGGATGGGGCAGCCACAACTTCTGTGGGCAACCTGGTCCAGTGCCTCCCCACCCTCAGAGGGAAGAATTTCTTCCTTCTATCTAATCAAAATCTCCCCTCTTTCAGTTTAAAGCCATTGCCCCTTGTCCTGTCTCTACATGCCTTTGTCAAAAGTCCTTCCCCAGCTTTCTTGTAGCCCCTTTACGTACTGGAAGGCTGCTGGAAGGTCTCCCTGGAGCTTTCTCTTCTCCAGGCTGAACAGCCCCAGCTCTCTCAACCTGTCTTCATAGCAGAGGTTTTTCAGCCCTCAGATCATCTTCGTGGCCTTCTTGACCCACTCTGACAGCTCCATGTCCTTCTTGTATTGGGAACCCCAGAGCTGAACGCGGCACTGCAGGGGGAGTCTCATGAGAGCAGAGCAGAGGGGCAGAATCCCCTCCCTCGACCTGCTGCCCACGCTGCTTTGGATGCAGCCCAGAATACAATTTTCTTATTTTCTTCAATAAATAAGCAAATGAATTCAAAGTTTGAAGCTTGTCAGGCTGAAAAGAAAGGCTTGACCTGTCTGTTCTGTCATCCATCTCTCTCACTGGCCAGCCCTGTATCACTGTTGCCCACACCTCTTTTATAGGTGCGACCAAATGCTTGTCCGCTGGCAATCAGATTCTTGAGATACTTTGACCTCTTGACTTCTGATTGTACCTCTGTCAGACTGAGTTGGAAAGAGAAATCTTGTCTACAGAATAGGTAGCGAGAAACTGGGCTGCTGTGAATGCAGTCAAATTTTCCCAGATGGATTGTTTCAAGGATGAAGATTATTCATCTAGCGCGTGGAGATTCTTAGTGCAAGTAGCGGTGCAGTCACAGGCTTCTGTAGAGGGAGTCGCAGCCAGAAGTAAGAGCTGCTGGGGGTTTTGTGTTGGAAACGAAACTACCAATATATTTCAAAAAGACTTTTTGATACAACCGTTACTCAGTTACTTTCTATTGCTGGTGACTTAGTTCTTCTCTTCAAAACTGGTGGTTTCCTACTTTGTTGCCCATTCCCTGAGCCACCTCCTCTTCTTTCTTTTAGCTGGAAATATGTTGGATTTCAGTATTAAAATCACCACTTGAAATTGTAAAGATCTAGCTCACAGCAGGAAAGAAGGCTGGAGGTAAGGCCACGCTGCCCTGTGCATCTTTATTATACTGGGTAGTTTAGAGATTGCAGGGTGATCTTAAGAGCTCCTCTGTGCTTTGTGTGAGCACAAGGACAATCTGTCAGCTTTATGTTAAAAGCCTGATACAAAGTTAAATTTCCAAACTGTGAATTACATAGTTTTAATTTTTTGTGCTTTAGCTAGATTTCAGTCATGTTCAGTTTCAGTTGGATATCAAGTTGTTCTGTTGCTTTCTGGAATCGTTGTGGTGCATTAAGGTGCCCTGTTCATCAGCTGTCACTCTCCATGAGAGAAGTAGCAGCATTTTTGATTTATTCCAGTATATGTGGAGTTAATACAGTGATCAAAAATGCAATATAAGTCTAGTTGAGTAATTTTTGACTAAGTGAAAGCTGGGGTGAACCTATTTCAAGGGGATTAAAGAGTATTAGATTAGAGGAAATGGGCCAAAATGACCCATTTAGGTATAAAGTTTCCAGATTAAAACATAGATATCTTTTAAAAAGGGTAAGTGGGCATCGTGTTTTCAGAAGGGGAAACAAGAAAACAGTCTTTTTTAAGAAAAAAAAAGAGTTAAATAGTGAATAAAATTAAAATTAAACAATCTTAGAAGTACCATGGTTAGAGTGTAATTTGGTTACTGCTATCATGGGGCAGAAGAGCAAAGTAGGCAGCTGGCTGCAGTTACCATTTCACCTACCTAATTTTTATCCACAGTTGGATGAGAGTCAATGCTCTAGAGGATTTCGAGGCATGATGTGGACACAAGACTCTTGATTTTGGTATCACAAGAATTAGTCGTTTATCTGAAACGAAGTCCTGTAGCCAATGCAAGTATATCTCTATTGGGTTTTCCATAAATATGATGAGAGTAATTGCTTGTACTTCATAGGCTTATGGCAGTATTGATTAATTAATATGTGTTAATAGTGAGATATGACCATCAGTATTTGTGTTGCATGTTTCAAACTCTCTCTCAAAATAAGACTTCTGATAGAACTAGACAGTTTCAACATTGTCACTTAAAGTTTACCTGAATTATCAGGCCGGTGCTTATGAATCTAACTGCCAGCAGTGACAGAGCTGTCTTGGGAGCGAGTAAAAGCCTGCTGAGTGGAAAGAAAATCAGTGTGAGTAATGCAGATGAAAAAGGACTAGGTTGAAGCCTTGTCATCACTTAGGAAAAACAACAGAAAGAAAGGAACGAGTATGTGAACGATACCGAGGTCAGCACATGTTGAGGAACAGACAGTGGAGTTACAGTGGCTTAGAATGTCACCACACGGCTGAGCTGTATTAGCTTCCCAGCTTCCTTGAAACGTGACACAAAACACATTAATTAAACCTGGGCAAAAGAGGACTCAGCTAATTTGCTCTTCGTCTTCAATGACAAGGTATCAAATAGTTGGTGGCTGTAGGAGTGTTCAGTTGGCATTTTACGCTTCCTTAACTGAAACAATGTCTTGTCTGAGCCCTTACTTTTACTTTAAGATAAACCAGATGAGTTCATTCATGATTTCACAGGCAGCTAAACTACTCTGAAAGGGACCTAAAAGAAATCTTGTTGCATGTGTGTCTTTTATGCCTACTTCTGCTTTTGGACAAGTTGTCTTGTTCCCATCTGTTGAGTTGATAATAGACATCAATCAGAGCCTTCTCTAAGCTAATTCAACTTGCTAACCGGGGCAGAAACTGGCTATGGGTGGGCTGATTGGTTTTCCTGCTGTGTTAGTGAACTGAACTGGTCTCTGGATATTTTCAGCAAGTCCTGAAGCTATGCAGAAGGGCAGAAGAGCAGCACCAGCCTCTGCTATGGGGATGGCATGCTCGTAGGTTGGTTCATGCCATCCTATGCATCTGCAACCTCAGGACTTGTATCTGTAGGTGCTCTCCTGCTCTGAGCAGGATACAGAAAGATTTGGACTTGCCCTGAGAATATAGACTGGGTCTTCTCTATGTCATGCAAGAGGAAATTTCCCTAGTTCAGGTCTGGGCTACACAAACAGATGTTTGTTCCTGTAAGAACATCAGCTAGGACATGTGTTTCTTTTTGAAATGCTTTTAAATAAAATAAAACTCTTAATATGGAAGCAACTGTGGCCAAAAGCCCATGTTTTTGTCATTATGATATATATTCTTCAAGGGCCGTTGTTACCTGTTCCTGAGTTGTTCTCTAAGTATCAGCTCTGTCTTCACTAAGACTGTGTGCCAGTAAAACTGCACTTGCAAACTGTTTTCTAGTGGAAAAAAAATTTGCTTTATAGTTAGTCGCAAAATTAGAGGTAGTTAAGTTTCAGTTATTTGCTGGGTATGGATTTTAGTTTTCTGAATTAACAAATCTCCCTTTTAAGGAAGTGTGTTGATTTTACTACTGGTGGTAGATCCTGAGGGAGAACTAAAGTGCCTGAAATACCTCAGAACGTCTTTTTTTCTTTACGTGTTGGAAGAGAGGTGGTGGAAAACCTGGTGATGGCATTCCTTGAAACTCGTCCTACACCTTGTCATATCTGATGCTATAGATGGACCCTGTAGGATGGCTGTATGTGTGGTGAGAAAACAGTCAAAAGTTTGGCCAAGCACTTGGTCTGCCTCCTTGCAGAATGCCTGTGTGACTTTGAACAAGTCATTTTGACTTGTCTGAAGGCCAGTCCCTTTCTGTGAGCTCTTGCTTCCAAAAATTAGTGTAGTTTTACTTCCCTGCCTCGCAGGTATATTCTATAGAAAGGTGTGTTTCGAGGATTTGGATACTCCAGCTGGCAGAATTAATACAGAAGAATTCTGAGATTCTGTCTGGATTATGATAAAGGATTGGTCAAATTCTGGAGGAGGCAGAAGACAACGGTATACCTATCCCTGTAATCATGACAGCTGAAAAAACGTGACTTGCCAGTCTGGTGTCTGGGTTAGGCCCACATCTCAGTTTTATTGGCAAAATGACTCTGTTTTTCATGTGGGTTAAAGACAGCATTTCAGTGTGTTGGTGAGATTTGTTTAGCTGTGTAACTCAGGCACACAAGTCCTGCTCTGATTCTGTTACAGAGCTTATATATCCAAAGTTTAGTCTTCAGCTCCTGAATCCAAGAGCTCCTCCTTTGCTCTTGGCACAGGTTTGG